AGACGAGAGTGGAACTTATTTATTCTCTCTCTCTCTCTCTCTCTCTCTCTCTCTCTCTCTCTCTCTCTCTCTCTCTCTCTCTCTCCTCTCTCTCTCTCTCTCTCTCTCTCTCTCTCTCTGAGAGGCAATTTCAACAACACTTCCAGCAAGCAAACACTACATCATACGAGATCCCCCACAGTGGGCCTTTACCAAGTGTTTGATAGATACCCAGTGTGACCCGACAGTGGTCCAGGATCAACCAAAAAGTCGTCATAGGATTCCTCTCCTGAGTGCCGATTATTTGGTGATTGTTCCATCCACAGTAATGTTATTTTTTTATCCTGCTGGTAAAATATATTTTTTTCCGGTTTAAGTTGTCCTTGAGGCAGCTCCTACATCTTCAGTACCAACCCACTCAGCCTCCCTCCATCCATTTGGCAGTCAGGAATAAGATGCGACAAATCCTGGGGTTGGAATCTCCCTCCCGTCGTGTTCAATAGCAGAAAATAAACCTCGAGGTCCTTTGTCACCCAGGAAATAACCTGTGGCAAAGTGGTACCTCAGAGAAAAACTGTACGACTCCTGTGAAAGACGGTACATCTCTGAGGGAAGATGGTACGTCTCTGAAGGGGAGATCATACTCCTCTGTGAGGAGATGGTACATCTCTGATGGGAGGTAGTAATTCTCTAAAGGGTAGATAGTATTCTTTTGTTAGGTGGTGGTATGTCTCTGTGGGGTAGATAGTACGCCTCTGAGGGGAGGTGGTATGTCTCTGAGGGGAAGTGGTACGCCTCTGAGGGGAAGTGGTACGCCTCTGAGAGAAGATCGTAAACCCCTCAGAGGGAGCCAGCAGCTGTGGGAACATGGAAACTGGTTAGAAGAAAGCAAACAAAGAGTGAGAGGGAAGTTAGAGAGGAAAGAGAAGAGCAAGACAGAAAGTAAGAAAGGGAGCAGGAAACAGCAGAAAGAAATGAATCAGCGAATTAGACTTAACCGTCAAAATGACTCTTTCTTGATCTTAAATCAAACGCCCGTAATAGGCATCAAGATATCTCAAAAGCTGAACCTCTAAGCCCACTAACTTTAAAAAATAACCCTCTTCCTCCCACTATCTCCTCGCTAATCTCGCCAGCGACCTATTGAAGACTCAGTCGTAACTGTACTTGTAGCTGTGTACCTGTGAAAATTTCAGTGCAGAGGTGTGCACGAATTTACATGAACTTTGTAATTAAGTTTTGGTGATCGCCTCTTCGCATGCTAGCGTTCCTGTGTTTTCGTGAGTGTTTACAGATGTTAGATGCGTGGGGCCTTACCTGTTTTTATTATACCGTTGAATGTACAGGATATTACCTGTTATCCTACCACAGTTCATTTACAGGCTAGCAGCTGACATCCTACCTCAGCTCATTTACAGGCTAGCAGCTGACATCCTACCTCGGCTCATTTACAGGCTATCAGCTGACATCCTACCTCGGCTCATTTATAGGCTAGCAGTTGACATCCTACCTCAGCTCTTTTACAGGCTAGCAGCTGACATCCTACCTCGGCTCATTTATAGGCTAGCAGCTGACATCCTACCTCAGCTCATTTACAGGCTAGCAGTTGACATCCTACCTCGGCTCATTTATAGGCTAACAGCTGACATCCTACCTCAGCTCATTTACAGGCTAGCAGCTGACATCCTACCTCGGCTCATTTATAGGCTAGCAGTTGACATCCTACCTCAGCTCATTTACAGGCTAGCAGCTGACATCCTACCTCGGCTCATTTACAGGCTAGCAGCTGACATCCTACCTCGGCTCATTTACAGGCTAGCAGCTGACATCCTACCTTGGGCTCATATTATTAAGCTAGCAGTTGAATCATCACTACCTACAGCTCAATTTACAGGCTAGCAGCTGACATCCTACCTCGGCTCATTTACAGGCTAGCAGCTGACATCCTACCTCAGCTCATTTACAGGCTAGCAGCTGACATCCTACCTCGGCTCATATATAGGCTAGCAGTTGACATCCTACCTCAGCTCATTTACAGGCTAGCAGCTGACATCCTACCTCGGCTCATTTATAGGCTAGCAGTTGACATCCTACCTCAGCTCATTTACAGGCTAGCAGCTGACATCCTACCTCGGCTCATTTACAGGCTAGCAGCTGACATCCTATCACAACTCACACCTTTAGATCCGTCTCTCTGATATTTTAAGTATTTTCTTACACAGTTTATGCAGACAGTGTCACAGCTGCTATCCTACCTCAGCTCACAATGTACAGGATAAGAATGGTTATCTTACCTCAGCTCATTTGAAACCCAGCCTCATCTAAGATACGTCTCCACTAACTCCAGGATAACACATCCTTACCAGTCGACTAGGTGACCAAAAGCAACAAATGTAAGGAGATTTGTCTGTACATTTCAACTCACCTATGACTGAACCTGGCTCCTGTACTCACCTTGTTATGCTGACAGGGGTCGCGTCACCGTTCCTGGCTACCCTTTTTAAATTCTATCGACGTGCAT